AGGGAAAACACTGGAGTTGAAAATGCAACTAAGTTAGAACAAAAGTATAGGGAGACAGAGGAAGGTCACAAAGGAAAGGTATTTGCATCTGAACTCAAGTTGAGAGAGACTATGGGATCCTTACTTAGGAAAGGTTATTGACTTAATGTGTTTAAAGAAAAATGCCATTTCTGTAGCCATGAGCTTAGCTGAAGCCCAGTTTCAAAACCCTTCCTTAACAAGGTACGTGCAAATTAAATTAATGGTATTCTTGAATTATTAGTTTAAAATGCTACACAAGAAAAAATTCTGCAAATTAAGACTCATGTGATAAAGAATGCATTTGACATGATACCAGTAGTACTTTATAATCATGTCTCAAGTAGTATATTATAATCATACATTAAAATAGTGAACTGAGAAGCACCTGTGACTTGGAAGGATTCACAGATTTTTCACAAGGCTGGAAGGGACCTTGGAAGATCATTGGGTCCAGCCCCCTGCACTAGGCAGGAAGACAACTGGGGTCAGGTGACCCCAGCAAGGTGACTGTCTAGTCTCCTCTTGAAGATTTCCAGGGTAGGTGATTGCACCACCCTGGAGGGAGCTTAATCCAGAGTTTGAACACCCTAACTGTGAAGAAGTTTTTCCTAATGTTGAGCCAGATTCAATCTTCCAGGAGTTTGTGGCCATTACTCCTGGTTTTCCTCTCAGATGCCCTGGTGAACAGTTGCTCACCGAGCCCTTAATGTACTCCCCTAGTGTAGTGGATAACTGCACAAGATGAAGGTGTATATAATGTTGTATAATGGAAGGTGGCAAAATACTACTTTTGAGTGAAGCTTGCTGCGAGTGAAATGCACTTAAGTAATATTTATATGGGACAATATTCTTGTGTAGTTGCTTCAAGTGTATCTACACATTCCCTTATATGGCATCAGAAAAGTCCCCATATTGGCACCAGAAAGACTGATGTAGAAGGGTTTAACAGGACAAAGACACCAGTAGATCCAATTAGCTGTGGCTCTTTTGTCTTGTGATAAGAGTTAAAAAACAGTCAAAAGAGGTGGGGAAGTTGCAGAGTAAACTGACGGCTAGTTCTCCACTTTGACCAGGCAAAGAGATTTTTTACCTCCTCACCCCCCTTCCCCTTACATGATCTGCATGGAGGCAAACTAGTAGGGTTTTATACAGGTAGATAGGATTTCACAATAAGAGACTACCTTATTTGTTTTAGTTCATAGTAGCATTGTTTAATACACACACACACACACACACACACACACACACAGGATTTTGGTACCTATTAGCATTGTTAGCCGACTTTAAAAAAAGAGAATAGGCTATTTTATTAGTTAGATCAATAGGATTTTGGACAACAACAGGATCAATTCTTTATATAGAAAAGTTACCTCTCAAACTCCCATTAGTTTAAAAAAAAAAACAACCAACAAATCAACAAAATATTTGCTTAAATCAAAAATCATAGAATTTGGTCCCAGGTTGAAAAATGCAGCCATGGTAAGAATGGCAACAGCAGCAAACCAACCAAATGAAAAGATGTCAAGAACCCCCTCCCCCACATATTCAGAAGTCAAAAAAAAAAAAAACAAAAAACCTCAACTCTGTCCTTAATGTTAACCTTGGTAAGGTTATGTTAAATATCACTGTCCATGTTGCAGCACATTAAGATCACCTACTGTTCAGAGCCCTCTTTACAGAGCTGCAGTGAAAAAGACAAGGTGAATTAAGGACAGACTATCAAACTTAAAATAATCAGTCAAATTACAAGTTATTTAAAGAATTCATAAACACACTCAATAAATGCAACTAGGAATATTTACAAACTTAACTGCCTAATCCAAGGTAGGCATTTGAGTGCAAATCAGACTCCTAGTATTAATATGCAATACAGGTGCACCGATACATTGATCTAATAATCAGGCTAGTATCAATATAAAGAAAATGGTCTATATATCAGAGATCGGCCCAATGAGGCCGATAAATGCCCATCCTGCACACAGCCACAGTGCAGCATGGAGCAGAGCCAGCAGCGTGGAGAGGTGCCTCCAGCCAGTAAATCAGAAGGGGAGGGAAGGGGGGGGGGCAGATCAACGCTCCCCACGGTGAGGGAGGGGACAGGAGCAGGCACTGGCCAGCCGGGACAGAGGGGCGTGGGACTGAGGTGCAGCTTGTAAGGTGGGGGCAGCTCCCGCTGCTGCTTGCACCCTGAGAGGGCAGGGAGGCATGTGCCCCCGGATCTGCGCTGTGCGGGGTGGGCTGCAGCTGCAGGGAAGGAGGTGGAGCTGGTGCTGTGCAGGGATTTTCTTGCCAGAGACAGGGCTTGGAGTAGGCTCTGGCCATGCTAGGAGGAGGCTGCAG